TGTATATGTATATGTATATGTATATGTATATGTATATGTATATGTATGGTATTCAGCTTTGTTCAGGTATTTTCCCATGTCATTATAGTTGTGCTTTTAAAGTTGTAGCAACGTTTCAGCAGAATCTCATCTGCCATCATCAGGCTTCTGTATTGTGTTCATCTGTGAGTCAGACTTTTACAGTTGTTTCAGAGATTTCAATAGAGATTGAAAAAAGACCTGAAAGCATGAATAGAAGAGATGATTCCACCAGACTGCCAATTATTTGGAAGCCTGCACTCACAAACAAAAAAATCTCCACACCACAAGCCAGGCAAACACCTGGGCACAAACAGATCCCCCCGGATACCTCCAGATCAAACACACCCCAACCAGGCACCCAGATGAAACCTAGCTACCTAACTAATGATAGCCATCCATTTACTCAGAGCCAAGCTGCACTAAAGGCTCGATTCACCATCACCCAAGACTAGGCATGCACGCCCCTAACTACCTCAATTCCAACTACTACTGGCCTTAAATGCAAACTACTCAATGCAAGAAGCCTCGTGAATAAAATACCTGAATTTTTCCTCCTACTAAATATGGCTAAATTCGACATTATATTTGTCTGTGAAACATGGCTCAATGCATCTCTCCCTGACTCCATTACCACAGTAAGGGACTATCATGTTTACCGATCAGATCGTGAAATTCGTAGAGGAGGTGGTGTTGCTATCTTCTATAAAAAGTCCTTACATCTAAAAAATATCCAAGTTACCCAGGAGCTTGCTCTTCCTGAGACCATCATCTGTGAACTATCCTTAAATATCACAATTTGATTCTTACTATGTTACAGAGCACCTGATTATGACATCGAACATGTAAACAAGCTAAATACATTACTAACATGGGCTGCATCCTGCCCATACCTTTTCATCTTTCTTGGTGATTTCAATCTACCTCATATTGACTGGACCCTAAATGAATGTACAACTGAAATCATACACACAACCTTATACAATGCTATTACAAATCTGGGACTGGAACAACTAGTAATCAACAACACTAGACTAAACAACTGCCTCGATCTCATCTTCTGCAATAGTTTGAATTTAATTTACGGAATACAAACTAAAGAACCCTTTTCCAGCAGTGACCACAATATGATTGACTTTTGTCTCAACATACGCCCACACAAAAATCACCACAATGATGTAATCCCCAATTGTAACTTCAAAAAAGGCAACTATGATCTTATAGACAACGATCTCTCATCCCTTGATTGGCAATCTCTATTCACTGGATGCAATACTGTTGAAGACCATTACAACATATTTTTACTTGAAGTCAAAAGAGTCATCAAACTATATGT